GTGATTAGTTATATCAAGGTTCATTGCTCAAATATAGCTTGTTAGTTATTATGAAATGTATGACGTATGCATGGAACTAGCTTACCTTCCAAACATAGTTACAGAATCTTCATGGCAAGCAGTTTTGATTAAATCGTACTAAAACCCTGACATGTGAAGTTTATGGCTTTTTCAATTTAATATCACGCTTGTTTCAAATAGGGTAGAACAGATGTAAGTTTCATTATCATATGCACCTGATTTAAGGGATGGTTGAGGTGGCTGAACTGAGATTTAAAATGGTTTAACTTATTCACATCAGTATTGTTAGCCATGACTTAGTGGTTTATACAATGGCTAGAAACTTTTAGTTCAAAGCTCCGTCATCTCTTCACCGATTTGAGATCTAATTACAGTTTTGGACTCAGGAGGTCAAACCCTTTCGATTGATGTATTTGACCATGCCCAAGGTCTCGTATATTAATTTACTCTAATCCTGTCTAAAATAATTTCAAGTGCCACAGCTATTGAGGACTTTCTCTTGTTAAATTACTAATCATTGCTGAAACATAAATTTTGTAATAAATGTTTGAAGCAATCTTTCTTGAATTAAAAAAGTAGATAAATGAAAACTATTTTTCTATAAGTGTGTGTGAGATACATTGGAAGGCACTGTCAACCAAATTCAAATATTTAACATTAAATCTGGTTCGTTCTTTATGTGTACTGGTGATTTTTGTAAATTCTACCCTTATTATTACCATTAACTTCTGAACAAAACAAGCTATTTACACAAGTCAGAGCTAAAAATTAACTTGGTAATTAAGAAACTAGTCTTAACTCAGAGTATTTTTTTGTTGTCTTGCTACAGGTATAAGGCTCTGGATAGGATGGAGCAAGACAGGATGCTCATGCTTCTCCGACACTTGGGTTTTGTACATGGACCTATAAGAGAACACTGTCCAGCCTATCCCAACTGTATGGATAATCTCATTGAAAAAATCATAGCTCAAAAGGCACTTAGGTACGTAGAAAGAAGAAAAATTAGTTTAAACCTAATTGTTTTTTAAACTTCTACTTGAGTAAGCTATGAAGTGTTTTCAAATTAAATAGTGGTTGGGGAGAGAGAGAGTTTCATGTTGAACTATTTATAATTTAATTTAATAGTGATTGTTGTTGTTTTGCTAATAAATTAGCTAGCTTTGTTTCTTATTCATGAAAAACTGAAACACTGATTAGATGAGAAAGTAAAATAAACTTCCCAACTGTTTGAGATTTGATTGTGGTATCTGTGGAAGTTGTTAACGTACCTTGTGTGAAACACTCTGATTGGATGAGAAAGTAAAATACACAAATAAATAAACTTCCCAACTGTTTGAGATTTGATTGTGGTATCTGTGGAAGTTGTTAACGTACCTTGTGTGAAACACTCTGATTGGATGAGAAAGTAAAATACACAAATAAATAAACTTCCCAACTGTTTGAGATTTGATTGTGGTATCTGTGGAAGTTGTTAATGTACCTTGTGTTTCGTTGACTTTATCTTAGGTTTTTAGTAAAACTTGATACTTTTAATTATATGTCTATATTATGTGTCTAGTTAACTTTTTATTGTTTTTTTATTCTGGAATATTGAAAATACTTGTCTTCTGTAAAGAAATGTGATATGTTTTTAATAGTCTCATCACTCAGTTTTATACTGTTCATGATGCAGATATAAAACATGAAGAATGCTATTTTTCATATAAACTTCAAATGTAATGCACAATAGACTTCATTATAACACTAGAGACTGCACCCGTGTACACACAACAGTCTTCGTTATAACACTAGAGACTGCACCCGTGTACACACAACAGTCTTCATTATAACACTAGAAACTGCACCCGTGTACACACAACAGTCTTCATTATAACACTAGAGACTACACCCGTGTACACACAACAGTCTTCATTATAACACTAGAGACTACACCCGTGTACACACAACAGTCTTCATTATAACACTAGAGACTACACCCGTGTACACACAACAGTCTTCATTATAACACTAGAAACTACACCCGTGTACACACAACAGTCT